CCTTTGGTATAGCCAGAAGGACTAGTGAAATTGTAAATTACAAGGAACACGCTGATTAACATCAATATTTGTAAAACGGCAAGTGTATTTTGTTGAAAACCGCTTGAGGGAAGATCTCAGCAGCGATTTTGAAATAGAGACGATTTCGTAGCGCTTCAGTGTCCGCAGAATTCGCGCGTTTGGCGAGTCGCCAGAAATAACGTTAATCACGGTAGAGGAGTTAGAAGCGGGCGATGGTAACTGGAGAACGTAAATGCGGCTCGCAATCCGTGCGCTCGTCGATCTCGAAGGAAGATGGAACGGGCATCAATTTTCGCCGGCTGCTACGAACCGAACGCGTTTCCGCATAATGGTCCGGGACGCCTCAGCCCGTAGGAACGCGGAACATTGATCAACGTCGAAATTAATTCGCCGGCAAGCCCAGGAGTATATTAAACCTCCGTTTGTTTCCTTTGCCTCCTTGTCCGTTCCGTTGGAGACAGGCCAATCGAATTCCGCCGCTTCCGCTGAAATTCAGCCAGCAGACTTCGAACGAACTTTGATCTATCATGGTAGAAAGTCGTTCTACGACTCGTGGGTGGAAAATTTTGTTTTTTATACTATATTGCCTACAAAATATATTTGACCAATATTTCATTAAATATCTTATCAATGACAATAACAAAAAATTATACATTCTCATTTATGTATCCTGTGCCTTAATTATAGCTTTTACTAGTCTTGACATTTTGGCTGTTAATTATACTATACAAAAAACTACAATGAGGTGTGAATAGGCAACTAAACTTAAATAAAGAACTAAGGAAAAAATAAAGCAGAATAATTTAATCAATTTGATGATACTAGTTTTACCACCAGTACATATACCACCAAAAATGATAGATGCCCACATACTTTTGAGCGATAGTGTAAATAGTAAAAATAATCGGGACTGAATCATCAAATCGATCCGCGTCGATAGCTCGAACGATTCTGTTTTACCGTGAAAAGAGAGTTTACGATGGTGGACGGGCACGACTCGATGGAAACAACGGAGATCAGCAATGGGCCTCGTGAGAAGGAATCGGGAGCGGTGGTGGAGAGCAACGAAGATGCACCGCAACAAACCACCAGTCCGACGACCACCATAAGCACCATA